GGGTGGGTGGGTGGGTGTGCGTGGGTGGGTGAGTGGGTCCGTGGGTTGGTGGGTTGGTGATTGTGCGTGCGTGGGTTGGTGGATGTGTGTGTGTGCATGCGTGGTTGGGTGGGTGGGCGTGTGTGCATGCGTGGGTAGGTGCGTGGGGTGGTGGGTTCTTGCCTGCGCCCACCAAACCACCCGCCCCCATGCCTTTTGCCATCTTCTCAGAAAAGAAAAAGAAAAAAAAGTGGAACCACATGCTGAATGAAAAAGAAAAAACAGCGGGGGCCAAGTCCCACTAGCGGGCAATGAAGTTGAGGAACGAAGACCGTCCATGTGTGTGACGCAACACGGAGCCGTAGATAGTGAAGGATCTGATGGGCAGGATTTTTCCGGTGTCGAAATTCAGGCATGCACCGTCTTTGTCAGTCTGTCATTGGCCGTGTATTTTTCTCAGTTTGTGTTTTTCACAGATGTAGGGGTTTTCATTCGAAACTGTCGTGTGGATGGGTAAGGAATGAATACCCAGTCGGGGGCTTTGACGGCCCAAATGGAAAAATTTAGGATATTCGGATCCAATGGGGAGGGATTTCAAAAAAGAAAAAAAAAAACAGTGGAGGGACCGTGCCAGCATGCCGAAGAGGGTGAGGCACATACAGTACTAGGATTCGAGCCCACGACTTACGTTTCATCGAGCAGGAGCTGTCAGCGAGACGTCCCTGCCTGGCATACTGCGAATGTACAGAGCCTCAGGTGAATGTACAGAGTCTCTTTCTCTCTCTCTCTCTCTCTCTCTCTCTCTCCCCCGAAGCTTGTCCACGACATTTAAGCCCAACTGCAGTAGTAGCGAAGCTGAAGAATGCACCAAACGGCAACACTGTAAACCGTCGGATCAGCAGTGCGCGTGAGCAAGGATGCGATCAGTGTGTCCAAGCAGCATGCGCACTGAATGTTTCACTTGCACATCGCCTGAAACGCGACCGAGGCCATTGCGTAGCGCAGTGCTGTGACGCCCACGACATTGACACACCACTCTCGAAATGTGCAGAATTGGAATGAACTAGAGGCTAGAACACGGCCACATGCACCCGCCACATTTTTGTGTTTCCACGTCGAGACCGGTGTGGCGAGGCACATTATCACGTACATCATGTGCAACTGCAGACGTGAGGATATGGGGCCTCGCCACACCGCTCTCGAAATGTGGAAAAGACAAAACTCTGTCGGCTGCATCTGGCCATGTTTTAGCAGAAGTTCATTCTCATTTTACACATTTCGGGAGTACTGTGGCGACGCCCATGGTCTGCATCTTTCCTTGTCCTTGCAAGTTATTAACGTGAGGATATGGTCTGCATCTTTCCTTATCCTTGCAAATTATTCACTTACACGATGCCAGTGAAGGCCTCAACTGTACCTCTCACCAGCCCTGGTAGGCACGGGGACATTGACGAAAAAGCCAGGTACCGAGGCAGGCCGAAAGAACTTCCCACAGGGCCGTCAAGCCCGCCGACCTGTCACCGTGCGTGTCAGAATCTGTCGTTCCCTCATGATTCAGCGGCTCTATAAAGTTTTTTTTCTACACGGACGATAAATCGTTCAAAAGCGTGTCGCTACCTGCCGCACCTCGCCACACCCCGCCGCACATGTTACGAAACCAGTACAAAACACCCTCTAGTGGGACTTGGCCACGGGGCTGCGGCCGCGCGATAAGACCCCAGAAGAAAAAGAAAAACCTCACCCCGGAAGAAAAAGAAAAAGCAGTGGGGCCGCTGCCACGCGAAAAGCCACAGAAGAAAAAAAAGCGGGGAACGCCAAAAAACCACAAAAGAAAAGAGAAAACCCACAAAAAAAACAAAACCCGGAAATGATGAAAAGCCACGAAAGAAAAAGAAGTAAAAAGGGGAACCACGACACGAAAATCATGAAACGACAAGTGAAGAACAAAAAGAAAATGAATATCCACGCGGCTGAAACTGACGGAACAAAATGAAAAAGAGAGAACAAAAAGAAAATGAATATCCGCGCAGCTAAAACTGACCGTACAAAATGAAAAAGAGAAAGAAAAAAAAAAAGTCCGGCCGTTTCAAGATACTCCATCGGGCAGCTGCCGGCTGCTTATTCACGGCGGCCGTTTCAAGATATTCCATCGGGCGCTGCCCGGCCCTGTGGGCGCTCACTCACGTTTGTTGGCACGCTACGAACAATTCCGTAGGCGCACCGCTCTGCAGGCCCCATTGCATCCGCCGGCCACACCAAAACTTTGGCCCGATTTCGGAGCGCAGCGGACCATCGACCTCCCCCCTTGGCAAAGTACATTTTACTCTTTTAATAACGTAATGGAGTCCAGGCACAACACATATGTCGAGGCAAAACACATATGAGGTTCACGAAATGAAGTCGCTGATTATAGCCAGCCCGCTACAGTGTTACATACTTCAATGAGTATGGGCAGAACCAAAGATCAACCAATATAGGATGAGCATTTATGCAGCGGAAGTCTGATAACGAACTGACTCACATAGACTGACTCACATAGACTGACCTACATGGCATCACTCCACACACATACAATCATGAGATGGTGGGCTCTGGGTCATGCATATACACACATACACAGATGAAAGGTGGGAGGAGAGACGAAGGAGGTAGGAGGTAGATCACACCGATAGGTCACAAGATAGAGTCCGGTAGGTCTCCGAAATGGTAGTCCAGAATGTCATATAACAAGATCAAATTGTCGAGGACCAAAGGTCACCAATGTCGGAGATAACCAAGTCCAGATGTAACCGGTGTCCAACTGTGATGCAGCCGAGTATCAACCTCAACAATCTCCAAGTCTCTAATCAGGTAAGTACCACAGTCTCGTATCACTTAAGTCCAACTCTGATCTCTGTCCAACTGGATAGTCTCCAATCTGAAGAAGAAGAAGAAGAAGAAGAAGAAGAAGAAGAAGGAGGAAGAGGAGAGAGAGAGAGAGAGAGGACTGGCGAGGAAGAGGAGGAGAGACCCTCCAAGCTCCCGTTACCTCAGGCGGCAATGGCCGCCATGCTGGCTCAGTCTCCCTGCTGCTGCTCCACTCGCTGCTGCGCTATGCTGCGCTCCTGCTTCAGCCCCTGTGCTAAGTTTAGCGCATCCAAACAGTACGCTGGTACTGACCATGCCGTGCCGGTAGAGTTCCGGTAGGCCGATGCCTCAACTGAAGCGGGTACCGGTACTTATATCGGTAGGCAATGGTCTGGCCTCAATGCTGCGAGGCCAGGCCAGACCCTGGACCGTCCAGATGGACGGTTCAGCCTCAATCGGCGGGCGACAGCTTCAAGAGCGCCGCCAGGCCCAAACGAAGTGTCGTTTGGGCCTACCCGATGGGTGCTGGTCCAAAATCAGGCCTTTAGGGCCTGTAACCCCAAAGGTCAGGCCTTTAGGCCCTGGTGTGTCCCTCCGGCCCTAAGTCGGGTCCGGTAGGACCCGTGAGTCGAAGATGTAACACACTCCCCCTCTTAAAAGTCCGAGCTACCTGCGAGGGCGAAGTTGTCTGTCCGATACCGAGGTGGGTCGGGCAGGACGAGCTGCGTCCTTAGCAAGGCGTCGCTTCTCATAGTCTGYGAAGATGAGGGGTGCAGAAGTCTGCAAATCTTCACTGGAGATCCACCGAGTGTCATCAGGCGCACATTGCTTGAATGTGACCTTGTATTGCCTTGGCTTGTTGCCATACTTGCGGTGCRTGATGACTCGGTCAACTTCCTGATGTCCGTCCACAGAAGGGGGATCCTGTGATCGACGTCCGGGGAATTCGTCAACTGGAGGTGGCATGTAGATGGCCAACTTCGATGCATGGAAGACCCGATGCACTGTTAGGTGCGGTGGAATGTTGATCACGAAGGAAGGACCGGCGGGGTCGTCTCCAACGGCAGAAGTGACTTCCCATGGTCCGAACCATTTCGGAAGGAGTTTGCGCGAAACATCCTGCTCGAGCGCAAATTCCT